ACCCTTAAGATTTGGCGACATTATCTATGCGGAGAGAAATTTCAGATATATACCGATCATCAGAGTCTCAAATATCTGTTTTCTCAAAAGGAGTTAAATATGAGACAGCGTCGGTGGAAGGAATTACTTAAGGATTATGATTGTGATATTTTATATCACCTCGGGAAGGCCAACCGGGTAGCCGATGTATTGAGTCGGAAGTCAAGCATCGCACACTTGATGGTCAAAGAATGGACTTTATTGGAAAAAGTGCGAGACTCGGAATTTAGATTTGAAGTAAGTCAAGTCCCGAGTTTGCTAGCCACGCTAAAGATTGAACCAGAGATCCAGGCTAAGATTAGGACTTTATAGTCTACCGATCAAGAAATTCAAAAGATTCTGGAAATGGATGCTACCAAGAGAAAGTCGGACTTCCAGATATCCGAAGACGGGATATTGAAGTTCCGTGGATGATTGTGCGTGCCTGATGATGCGGAACTTAAGAAAGAAATTTTATCGGAAGCGCATCGTAGTAGTTATAGCATCCATCCTGGTAGTACCAAAATGTATCAGAATCTGAGATAGTACTATTGGTGTAATGGCATGAAGGTAGATATAGCTAAGCACGTAGCTAAGTGCCTGACGTGCCAGCAAGTGAAGACGCAACATTGTAAGCCCGGAGGATTGTTGCGACCTTTGGAAATCCCAGAGTGGAAATGGGAACATATCACTATGGATTTTGTGACGGGATTACCAAGGAGCCAAAGAGGCCATGATTCCATTTGGGTGATTGTCGATAGATTGACAAAGTCAGCACATTTTTTAGCCGTGCGAAAGGATTTTGCATTAGATCGGTATGCTGAGTTGTACATACAACAAATAGTTCGTTTGCATGGGGTACCAGTGACGATTACCTCAGATTGTGATCCTAGGTTTACCGCCAATTTTTGGAAAAGTCTGCAGACGGCATTAGGATCAAAGCTACAGTTTAGTACAGCTTACCATCCACAAACGGATGGCCAGTCTGAGAGGATGATTCAGACTTTAGAGGATATGCTTCGGGCATGTGTATTGGATTTTCAGGGTAAGTGGGAAGAGCAATTATCCTTAGCAGAGTTTGCGTATAACAATAATTTTCAGCAGAGCATCGGATAGGCGCCCTTTGAAGCGCTATATGACAGAGCATGTGGGACACCCGTATGTTGGGACGAAGTAGGAGAAAGGAGTATAACCGGGCCAGAATTAGTTCAATAGTCAATTGAAGCAGTTAAAATCATACGCGAAAGGCTGAAACAGCTCAAAACCGTCAAAAGAGTTATGCAGACAGAATGTGGAGACCTTTGGAGTTTCAAGTAGTGGATCACGTATTCTTTAAGGTATCGCCCATGAGAGGATTATCCCGATTTGGTAAGAGAGGGAAGTTGAGTCCGAGGTACGTGGGACCCTTTGAGGTTTTAGAAAGGATTGGAGACTTAGCTAATCGCCTTGCACTTCCGCCAAATTTATCGCAAGTGCATAATGTGTTTCACGTATCGATGTTGAGAAAATATGAACCGGACCCAACTCATGTGTTGAATTACGAAGAGATAGAAGTTGACGACAGGGTGTCGTATGTCGAAAGACCAATAAGGATCGAAGATCGGAAAGAACGAGTTTTAAGGAACAAGACGATCCCGATGGTCAAGATTGTTTGGGAACATCACGGGACAGAAGTCGCAACTTGGGAAAGTGCGGAGCAAATGCAGCGTCAATACCCCCACTTATTTGAGTAGCTAGTTTGATTTGTAAATTTCGAGGATGAAATTTTTATAAGGGGGGAAGAGTTGTGACATTCTGAAATCCGGCCCACTTGGGATTTATTAAATGAATGGTTTATGAACGTGCTTGTAGTTAGATCTCGCCCGGAACTGATCATTCTTGGGATACAAACCGTTAGGGAAAGGCTAATTAGGGATTTAAATTCGCGCGACTAAAGAAACTCGATCGTGAATCGACTTTCGACCATAGAATTGTCGAGGTGACATTTTGAGTCAATGTAGGTCGATCCGAGGATAGTTAGGGATTGATTCACCACTGTCATATTAGTGGATCGCGAGTGATTCCGCTTGACCACGAGATGAACTGACGAATGACCCTAAACCTATACCAAAAGATCGCGCCCGTCGGAACTAGCGATCGATCCTCGCGATTAAGTGACAACCGAGGTCGTCAATTTTGCCAATTTAATCATAAATATTTTAATTGTGACAATTGAGTTCTAAACAGTTTCACGTATTACATATTGAGTCAATTCGGCCAATTTTGGCTGAGAATCGTTGATGTGGACGCTGGCCGTCCTACATGGCGGCGCCGGCCATGATGTGGAAATTTTTTTACAATATTTTAATATTATTTATTTATTTATTCTTTTCTTTTTCTTTTCTTTCTTCTTTTTTCTTACGGTGGTTGGCGCCAGCCACCAAATGAGGGTCATCGGGGCCTTGCCAGCCACAGACAGAGGTCGTGTAGCCCTTGCCCGCGGCTGGCAAAGCTGGTTTTTCCCGGACCATCGCGGCCGTGATATGAATGTTATCAACAAGGACAGGAGGGAGGGAGTGGGAGACTAGGGTCTTTTGGTTGGATAAATATTGGGTATAGAGAATGTGTATTTATTTTTCTATGCATCCCACAATTTATCACCGTTGATGTAAGTTGTGAGTTATTTACTAAGAATATAATTAATCATGACAACGAAGAAAGATGTGAAATATATAGAAATTTTTTTTAATAGTCTGGGGGCATGAGCAGAGACCCATGGAACAACCTACAAACCTTATGAATTGGTTAAGTACATGCCAATTGAAACCCTAAATTGTAACAATTTACGAGTATTGATGGGATTTAAATAAGTGATCTCTAGTTCCCGAGCTTGACATTCCAACCAACTTTACTAATCTAGGGTCTTATAGAAATAAAGTTACGCAGTGTGTAACTAAATTTTCATTGGTTTATGTGAGCTATGATCACACTATAAATCGAAGATCCAATGCAGAAAGTGAAAAGACATACAAGCAGTAAGCTTGAACGAGAAAATGGACACGACAAACATTACCATGCAACTAAAGAGCATGCCCTGACACACACAAAAAGTACTGCCGCTTCGTACGAACATTATGTCTAATCCAAGATCGTACACTTGTGAGCTAATTTCGAAACTGCTGGCAACGACGGGACAACATTCACGAATGTACTGTGAACGTATCTGCTCGTGTGACCCCGATTGCATGATCAAATGCTAATTGTTCAAGTATGATACGCCATCCCAATGCCGTTAGATGACTGGACGGGATTGTCGTACTCCTACGAAATCAGCTTCACAGCAATCGTCCGAGCCCTCCTCTGTGTCCAGATTTGTTGGCCCACTTCAATATAGCGTAACTACGCAAAGTGGGATAATTATAAAAAAAAATCATAAATTTATTGTACTGATGTTAATTTATTTTTAGACTTTTCAATTTGGTCATTTTAGTTATAAACCTTTTGAAGATTTGCTAGTACAATTCTTCTGGCCAAAATTGGCCAGAAATGCTGACGTGAATATTGCCGTCCTATGTGATATACCTGGCGCTAATGCAGATAGTTTTTATACTTTTTTTCATAATGTTTTTTGAATTTTTTCCTTTTCTTTTCTTTTGTTTTTTTTTTCACTGTGGGCGGCGACTCTCACTAGCAATGTGCGACGGTTTCACGGCCCTTCCCTAGATTTGATGAGGGCCGCGCTGCTCTCGCTTGGGATTGGCGACGATTAAATTGATATTCATATGATAGATTTAGAACTTTTTGTTAATTTTTCCACTCAGAAGTTGGAGTGGCGACGTATGCTTTATCAAGGGGGCAGCCTGACATCCGGTACAAGTTCGCTGGAGCTGTAGCGAAATCCGTCTGATGATAACGTTCAGCATCCTGAGATAGGAATATAAGAAAGTTACCATGGTGACATCTGCTGGAGATGATGTGCACGCGAAGTGGGCCCAAAAGTGCTATTCTTGGTCGGTGGATAATTCTCCTTAAGAGGCTATTGAGAATAGGAGGAAGCTAAAAAGTGGCGTTCTATTCTTCCAAAAACAAAAAAAGTGAAAAAAATAAAGTTAAAAATTACACTTAACAGCTACATTGGTAAAAATTAAACAAACGGGCCTTTAAAATTGTTGGATAAAGGTCAGGGAAAAAATCGATTAACCTTTCTATGCACAACAAAAGAATTACCCATGAATATAGATTGAGTCATCAGTGAATAATGGACGAATCTATAACTTCTCAATGGTCCTAATATAATCACAAGAAAAATATTCTTGTTTCACGGCGTTAATGCCGATCGTCTTCTCGAAGTAATAATGAAGACCTTTTTGTGTGTTATTCTGATAGAGAGGAGAACGTACGTTTCACTATACGTTCTTTTCTGTATGTGTATTATCTTCTCTCTCATCAGGAAGTTATTTTAATTTCCCTTAAAAGATGACCACTCACACCTTTTCAAAGGGTGCCTCTCAAACACACCCCATCATGAGCGAACCAGTGCCATATAACATCTCCCACTCGAACATGATGGGCTTGATAATAGTCTATCAATAATATAAGCTTTTAGAACAGTTGGTGGTGGTCCTACAAAATCTAACATAAACATTTCCTCCATGATGAATGATCATCATACAAGATCTTTGTGCGTTGATGATGATGGAGCGAGAGCGAGAGAGATCTATCAAATCAAGTATGATAAAGTGCAGGCGCCCGCGTTGGTGCCGTGATTGGAGGTGGTGGTCTCCGTCGATGATGGTGAGCATCGATGGTGGGCTAGGGCGTTTAGAAGCAGAAGAGAGAGAGAGAGAGAGAGAGAGAGAGAGAGAGAGAGAGAGAGAGAGAGAGAGAGAGAGAGAGTTATTTTTCTAGTGGTATCCATGAATGTGTTAAAATCATCATGGACTCTCCTCGAAACGACAAGTGGTTTACCCCAAATTTATGCCTTTCTTGTCATTGGGTGGTAGGTCATGTTTGGCTGCAGAAAAGAGAGAGCTGAATTGCTGGAGGCTTTGGTCATTCCAGACAAGGATTTCGCTTTCCCACGCTACTCTCAGGTTTGACGAAAGCTTCTTCTTTAGTTGATTGCTTTTTAAACCTTACACAGAATCTTCGTCACCTAAAAAAAGAAAAATAGTTTTACATAAGTATATAAAAAATTGATTATAATTAAAAGAAAAAAGGTTGCAAAAAATAAATGAGCGAATTCGCCCATGAGAAAATTTTATGGAAAATTCTGTTTGTACTCATTTTATGGAGGAAGTGATAAACCAAACAATCACTTACTCGAGAAAATTTTCCTTGTTGGCTGCAATATGAGATGAGATCCATTATTTCTTTCATTCTTTGTTGATTTTTCTAGGTAGAATACTTTGATTGTGTAAATCTGCATGTCACTCTAGTATTCTTTTCGTTTGGTAATGCAAGCCACGGGCATGTAACCTACTCAAGTATACGATAAGAACATTAGAGCAAAAACCAAACGGTCTTATCTACCTTTTGTTCGAGGACTATAACCATCTAATCTCCTCGATCGATAGTATGTAAAGGTGCTCATGTAAAACTTTTTTTACACTGACGGTGTATGCTATAATTATTTTACCAAAAGCTAGTCCTTCGAAGATTTATCCTTGCAACCTATAGAATTACTTGTCGTGGTTCTCACCAAATCCATAGGTAGATAATACATAGTAAATTCATAACATGTCTATGCACGATGTGCATAATTGACTTGATCTCAACCCTTCGATCTTGTCGGACCATATGAGGCTTACGCATCTAACGACTAAGAGTCTATCTACTTAGTCTAGGCTAGAATCTCATATGGAATAATATGTGCAAACATTTAAATACATATGAATCATTGAAATTGATAGTTTTCGTGTTAAATTAGTGTACCCTACCGGAAATGCTAGGTATATTGAGATCGACATATAACGTTGCTATACTTCTTATCCTAAGTTTGAACACTATCTAGTTGTTTAATGCTCCTTTAAATTCTATCACATCACTTATTATACCTAGTACTCTCTTTTTACTTGATGCATAAACTTACATCTTCTATAGTAGGAGCTTGTACAGAGTTTGGGGCCCACTGAAGGGCATAAATGAAAAAAAAACAATGTAAGGGTTAGAAGTGCATGTGAATCCACTCAATTCTATTACTAGCCATTAAATCATGTGGGATCCAAGTGGAATCAATATTTATTGCATGTGAATCCACTCAATTCAATTACTAGCCATTAGATCATGTGGGATCCATATGGAATCAATATTTATGATACACTTTGGTTGTAGTAGCGTAGTTACATTACATGTTGATTGTCTATTACAGTTTTTGCTTGGCTGTAATAGCTATTCCCTGAATATCCATGTCTCTTTTCTCTCAATCACTTTATCTATGTTAGGTTATTATTCATAATTAAATTGATCTAAATTATAACTAAATTTGTTATATTATCTATATTAACATTAATCATAACTATTTTGACATAATCATATGTTATATTGTTAATAAATAAAATATTAAATAGTTTGTAAATAGTTTAATGATGATGTGATCTATAACACAAATATTTATTATATTAAAGTTATTTATAATACGATAAGTAGCTTTATATTAGTTGCTTGCTAATTAAATATTTTATTATTCATAATAATAATGAATATTCTTACTAATTATTTTAATCAATGCTTAACATTTTATATAATTATTTTCGTACTATCAACTATGTAATGAATAATATATTTTTAATAGAATCACATATCATAATATTAAATTGAAATGATAATCATACTTAATTTTTAAATAATTGATAAAAACTTATATTCTGAATTGTGACATCTTGATAATTTGGAGAATTAGACTCATGATTGGCCATTAAAGCGATAATTACTAACCCATACATCTATTTTAATAAAATCTTGTATTCACATATCATGTCCTTAACTTTTAATTACAATCATAAGATTATTGTAATAATAATAATATTTGATGTGATAAATGATATGTCTAATAATATATGTGGAGTATTAAACTAATGACTAGTTATGATTGACTATTAAAGTGACAATTAGTATATTCCCTCTGATTTTAATTTAAGAAATATTTTGGGAATTGTGATGCTATTATCCCCTTTTTATATATGTGATTTATCTAACCAAATAGTGTAATAGGTATTACATTGCTTAAATCAAACAATGTAATATTTAATGTAATAGCCATTATGTTACAACCTTATTCTATTACTACAAACAAACGGGCTGATAATATAATTGAGATGAAACAGACTCACAATATTCGAGTGTATGCAAGACTTTTTCCAAACTGCCCTCCATCTAGCATTTTGGTAGAATGTTGTGGAAACAGGCTGATGATTAATGGGGTCCTTTTGCAGAGGGTGCATCTGGTCTGGGGCGAGAATGACAGTATCTTCCCTGTGGCAGTAGCCCAGTCACTGAAAGAGTATGTTTATATATTTTCATTAAATAGTTCGTCAACCATTTCTATTTATTTATTTATTCATACAAAAGTTTTAAAGCCAAAACCATCTTGGCATATCAGCACGTCTTTGCTAATTATTATTATTTTTGCTTGATTATCTTCCATCTTGAAAAATAGAACCATGTTTTGACCAAAACTTTGTTTGCTCCACTGGGTATTCGTTCAATTATTTTCAGCAGAAATTTGACTCATTAGGTTATGTTTTTTTTTTTGGACAGAAATTTGGGAAATAATGCAACACTAGTAAGCATTGAGAAAGCAGGCCATCTTGTTGCATTGGAGCGACCCTTCGTCTACAATAAATGTCTGAAGAGAATTCTGTCCTCTATCTACAAAGCTGGTCACACAAAATAGTTAGGTCACAGAATAGTTTTCAAATGACTTATACAATAATTAGTACAATAATTTGTTTAAAAGATTAGAAATATCGTTTGAGTTATTGGAGATTATACTGTTAGAGATGAAATCTCGTTTGAGTTATTGAAAATCACCCTATTGGAGATTTTCGGACAAGTGTTTGATGTTGAAATCCTGTTGTGAATTTGCTTGACTATATAAAAGGAATAGAGAGAGCAAATGGCCTGGATAAGGAAATCAGAGTATCTTATTGTAGATGCCGACGTAATATAAATACATCACAGGTATATGTTTGCTTGTATTTTTTAATTGAACTTGAAATTTTTTAGTAGTATTCTGATATTTCTTCTATTAAACGTGAAATTTTGTTAGGCTGCTAAAAGAATTTTTCTTAAGGTTCCGTTCGTTTCGCGGAAAATATGACATTTCTGAAAAATGTTTTCCAGAAAGTCATTTTTCAGGAAAATGACAATATTTTCCAGTATCTGGCTAAAATGTGAAAAAGACCATGAAAATATTTTCCGTTGTTCGGCAAGGAAAATATTTTCCAGACTTCACCACCTGGGTGTGCACTTGCCTTTAAGGCCACAAGGCAAACTTGCTTGGCATCTTTGTTCCCTCACCGTTTCCAAACACCCATCCTTTCCTCTATGGATTTTAAACTTCTCTTGCAAAGCTACAATCTTGAACAAATGATTTTGATAGTATAAGATTTCGACAATTATGCATACATAGGAAAGATATCATAACACTACCAATCTTACCAAAATGAGGTATTGGACATTCTTCAGAAGCCTAAATTTGATTTGCTAGACATGAGGAAGGGAGAAAGTTCACAACTTCAGATCCAATAAACAACATAGAATCACTTCAGAACAAAGGGAAAATATTCTTTAAGTTGAAATGCAGAGTCCACACTGAGATCACTAGTCATAGAAAGGCCAATACATACCAACCTTACATCAAACTTCATCTCTCGGAGTATTAACACTAACAATATAAAAAGAAAGAACACATGAGACTTTTGACAACAAAGCTCTACAAAATATATCACTATTCTCCTTTGGCTAGAAATTTATCAATCCACACTTTCTTGAGATTCAAACTCTTCACCATGAATGCTTTTCCAATTTTTTCATTCTCAACTAGGTAGTCAAAAACCGATCCAAGGGAAACTTCATCATATCCATCCACCTTCATCACCTCGTTGTAGAATACAAGAAGTTACTTGCACCGAGTACCTTACAAAGCTCTAAAAAAGTATTTGGTGTCATCTGTATTTGATTTATACAATGAGTATCGGCACTGTATAACACACGATTCATATATAACTCACTCTCGTAATCTCGATTCACATGAGGCTTTCTCGCTGTGCGGTGCTCAGAATGATTATAATCATCCATAACTAGTGTGATAACTGTCATAACCGCTGCACCCGCACCCGTTAACACCACTTGGATTTTGTTATCATCCATCTCTATTGGAGCACACTAATCATTAAACACAAAATGTAGGTGAAATACTGGAAGGGTAATACTAGAAGAGTTAGAAACGCGTGGAACAGCACAAGCTGCTTTTCAATGTATGTATACATTGGGTATGGAAATGCTCATGCATCAATTTCAGTCATATTTCTATGTGAACAAAATAACTAGGTATCTTCTTGATTCAAATCCGGCCATTGTAGACAACACACTCCTAATAACCCAAACTTCATCCTAAGCTAGAATAATGTTATCCTAAAACCAAATCCCCAAAGCAGTAAATATTACGAAGCTCATTGATAATCACTAACAAAAGCAGCTCTGTTTATACAAGTAAAATGAAACTGAGGCATCTTTTATATGCCCTGAACCCTTTGGCCCAAAACACCCATGAGTTTATTTACGAGTGATCCACCACCTACGCTGGTTACGACCATCAGACCAAAAAGACTCCGTTTCAGATTAATAGCATGGGACAGCACAAGCTACTCCAGAAATGCAAAATAAACGAAAAGACCACATTTAGAAAACAAAAGAATTGCACAATGTTCGTCAAGACGAAGACCAACAACCCAAACAGACAAATAGAAGAAGACCCAACTGCTAATAGCGCCAAATGGAAAGACATTGCTATCATACTAAACGCGAATAGTTAGTTTCCGCTTTCCCTTGAATTGGCTGCTGAGCAAAGAGATCGATTTACAGAAATAAGAGCTAATAATAGTGATTACCTCGAAATCGCGTCTCTGTGGGACAAGAAGAGGGACCAGACGAAGCGCAAGCCAGCAATGGAGGAGCGGCTCTGGAGATGAGGGATGAGACGAAGAAGGTTTGAGAAAGATGGGGAAACAGAGATCTCATTGGAGAGATAAGATGATGCATGAGAAGAGGGGAAAATGAAGAGAGGAGGTGAGGGCAAGAGGGCGATGCGAGATGCGAGGGCGATAGGGCGACGCGAGGGCAACTGGGCGAGAGAGCGACGCAAGGAGATGAGGGCCACGCGAGGGCAATAGGGCAACAACGAGAAAGATTGGAAAATGATTTCCTCTCTTGAAAGAAAGGAAAACATTTTCTCTAGTTTTAGAAGGATATTTTTCATTCACTAGAAAATATTTTCCTTGATCACTTATTTTCCGCCCCCGAATACTAGAAATTACGGAAAATATTTTCCGCCAAACGAACGGAGCCTAAATTTTGAGAAAATTATATTCTGGATTCACTAGGAATACAGTCTTGAAATTTCTTTGATGTTGTACAATTTATTCTTTGACTGCTACGTCCATATGCAAAGTTCCAACCACACCAACCCAAGTAAGCGAACATGGTATCCTAAGTTAATTAAATTTCCGTGTTTACACTATTTTTTTACATTGCGATATCTTGTCAACACCATTCTTGATATTAAAATGTTCATGCAAGTTGTTAACACCTCACTATTTCCCTGAGATTCGAAAACTCCAACGTTTGTTCAAGAATTTGACCAAAAGTTTGATCAGGGGAAAACTTGGGGAAAAAAATATTAATAGTATGATAATTTTCGTACGGCGCTTTTTTTAACACCATAACTTTTTAATCGATTACTTAAGTGTCATTAACTTTTACAAAATATTCATTTGAGTGACGTTGGCGATTTCCCTTGCCAAAAAACATGACGTGGCATTAACTTTCATATAAAATTGTCCGACATGGTTTGCCAGGGAAATGATATCATCACAATCATGTAAAAACCGTAAGCCACGAAAATAGCACCCCAGGATCCATTGTCAGAAAGCTAGAACACAGTAATCAAGAAAAGGGATTTGCGCACCTGATTTGAAATCCATCATTTTTTATGCAGAATAGTAACGATTTTGGGCTCAAGTGCTTCTTCTCTATTACCCTCCACTAGCTCAATAAGACTGTCCCTCACGATTAGCGTTCAGTAATTACTCCTTATGTGAGATAATTTGTGCATCAAAGTTGGGGGAAAGACTTGAGTACTATTTATAGAGTTTTTAGCCTCAGACCCTCTCATCGCAAGCCGAACTCTACTCAGCTCACACAAGCGAGCCCCATATTAGACTAATTATGAATATTTATATCTCACCTTATTAGACCAACAACAAAAAAACGGTAAATTTCAATCTCAATTAATTTAACCCAAGTTAAAAAAACTCTTACATTCTCCCACTTGGGCTATATTAATTGAAATTGTATTGTATATGCGCACCTTTATGTTGGTCTAAAGATTATTCTCAACAATTAATCCGATTCCATAAAGTCTCAAACACCGAATCATGGCGGTAACTAAATCAATACACACGGAGCCCTTCATGATTACGAGTGTTTTTAACTTTACTGATATAGATTCAATATGATAGTATGGCAAATTGATAACACATCATAGAGAGTGATATCTTATGTGTCCTCTTTGTCAGTCTAAATTCTCTCTCCTTAAGTGTCACAAACCTAATTTATCACTAGAGAATATTCTTATGGTTCCAATGAACCTATATATGTCTTATTCTTATAGCTAACTTTACTTTGTGTGTAACAAGACATATTCTTATGGCGCAAAAAGTGTCAGAAAAGTCCTAAACCTTTTGCATTGGTGCCAATTTAGTCTTAAATAATTTTTTGGTGCCAATTGAGTCTTCAACCTTTTTGTTTTTGTGTCAATTCAGTCCTTCCGACTAAATTTGGCCAGATATTACTGACATGGATGTCGACCGAACTACATGACACCGTCGGCGTTGACGTAAACAATTTTTAATAATATTTTTTCTAATTTTTTCCTTCTTTTCTTTTTTTTTTCCTCATTTCTTCTACCTTTGACCGATGACTGGACACCGACTGCCGGCCATGGCCATTCGCTTGGGCGAGGACGTACCCTGACGAGGGCTCCCCTCATTAGATTTGGCGAGATTGTTGTGGCTTGGGCAAGGGCTGGCCTCGCTAGATCTGGTGATGGGAGCCCTCGCCGGGTTTCGCCCTTGCCCAAACAAAGGTCGGCCTCGCCCAGGCCAAATCTGGCAAGGCTAGCCCTTGCCTAGGCCAAGGTGGCCTTGCCAAGAATTGCCTTTCCCCGAGTGACGCTTGGCGAGGCCGCCATGGCCTGGGCGAGCGTTAGCCTCGCCAGATCTGGCCTAGGCGAGGCCGACCCTCATCTAGCCTTACCTGCCCTTACCGGGGCTCGCCCTCGCCTAGGCAAGGGTCGACTGGGCCTTGCCTGTGGCGGTCGATGGTGGCCAATGTCGAGTCACCGACCAAAGGTAGAAGAAAGGAGGAAAAAAAGAAAAGAAGGAAAAAAAGAAAAATAAAAAAATTTAAAAATCGGAAAAAAAATGAAAATATTATGAAAAATTATCTACGTTAGCGCCGACGGTGATATGTAGATCGGCCGACATCCACGTCAGCAATATCCGGTCAAAATTAGCCTGATGGACTGAATTGGCATAAAGACAAAAGGTTTATGATTCAATTGGTACCAAAAAAAGGTTTAAGACTCAATTGGCATAAAAAAAAAGGTTTAGAACTTTTCTAACACTTTTACCTCCTAAAGGCTAATAGCTGAATGCCCATAGCTGTTACTCAAGGTTTACACAATACCTTGAGAATTTAATTAGATATATATATTCAACATGATAAGAATATATTCATAAAGACTTTATTGAATGCAAAAGAGTTGATACATATCATAATGTTACAAAATGGGGGGAAGAACATTAGAAGCGCCAAAACTTATGTACGGCGCTCACTTTAGTGCCAAAAGTTTTTTTCAAATCACTTAAG